TTAAAGTCTATCATCAACTTGACTGAAGGTTTCGGTTTGTATTTTTTTAGACTGCTCAAGGGAAGTGGGAATATGTTCGTCAAGAGGTGGAATACATGTTCAGACAGGGGCGTCCTGTTTTAGTTGGGAGCACCAGGTAAATCCAATCTAATCTGTTTAATTTCATGGACTTGGTTTGCTGTGATTTTAATATACGCTGCTGCTATGTTATACATTCTTATGTGTCAGTGATCATAGATTATAAGCATCCAAAACTTTTTAGATTTTGTACTTTGTGAACTGGAGAATTTTGTGTTATTTCATAGATAATGAAGCATTTTTGGTGCCTTTTATAATCTTCCTGGCCCTGTAGGTTATTTAATTAGTTCATGGAGGGACAACTTGTGATATAAAACGTAGTTGAATCAGAAAGTACTCTTGTATTTCAGATAATGCTGCTGAAACTTTTTTCTCAGTTTCTATTTCAAAACTTTTCAATGTGGTTACATATGCGTGGAGGCATGTTTTTGTTTGGGCTTTTTATAGAAATTCCAATGGTATTTGGATCAATTGTAATATCCTTGATGCTAATTACTTGGATTTTGTTGGATTCATCTAATCATATTTACACTGCATACATTTATGTACAAGGAGACATAATTATTTTGGTCAAATTTATGTTTTGAGTATGCAGACATCAGCTGATCTGTTACTATGATTTCTCATCTTCATAATGCAGTGTTGAGAATTCTGAGTACTTGTCTGATCTACTGAAGGAGCAGAATATCCCACACAATGTTCTAAATGCACGGCCTAAGGTTAACTTAATTGGACCTTACATGTGGATGTAGTCTACCATTCTCTTTTACTTTAGTACCCATTTGACTGGTTGTTTTTACATTAATGTCGTGTTCATATACATTTCTCATCAGTATGCGGCAAGGGAGGCTGAAATTGTTGCCCAAGCAGGACGAAAATATGCCATTACCATTTCTACCAACATGGCTGGCAGAGGCACTGACATAATTCTAGGAGGAAATCCAAAAGTAGGTGCCCTTGTCCATTGTTAATTGATTCAAAATGTACTGGTGAAAATGAACCCGTACATTATTTCCTGGAGTTTATGAAATTGGGAACATGTATTTCATGCATATGCATCTGTCCTTTTATCTAATGCATCCTTGTTTGGAGCCTCTGTGGATAAGTAGAAACTAGAAAGGTGGATTTAATTCGTTGTGTACTTGTTATGATTGAAGATGCTTGCAAAAGAGATCATAGAGGACAGTTTAATTTCGTTCCTGACACGAGAAGCTCCTAATGTTGACGTTGATGGAGAGGCAATTTCACAAAAGGTGATTCATTTTTTAACTGTAAGCTACAGACCAAATTGATTCTATTTCTAATTAATCATTTGTTGTAGGTATTGTCCAAGATAAAGGTCGGTCCATCATCATTAGCTTTTCTGGCTAAGACAGCGTTAATGGGTTTGTGACTGCTTTTTGACAAAATATTTTATGCTTATATAGATGCATATTATGGATTGTGGATTGTGCTTATATAGATGCATATATAAAATCTTTATATTTTATGGATTGTGCAGCTAAGTATGTTTCAAAAAATGAAGGCAAGAGCTGGACATATAAGGAGGCAAAATCTATGATATCGGAGTCTGTGGAAATGAGTCAGTCAAGGGATTTGAAGGAGTTAGAGAGGCTTGTTGGTGAACAGTCGGAGATGTACCCTCTTGGCCCTACAATTGCACTTGCTTATCTGTCAGTTCTGAAGGATTGCGAGGTACACTGTCTCAAAGAAGGGTCTGAAGTAAAAAAGCTCGGGGGTCTTCATGTGATTGGAACATCTTTGCATGAGTCTCGGAGAATAGATAACCAGGTGATTGTTTTGGCATACATTTTAAAAATCATATTTTATTACCATTTACTCACGAAGCATGAGTTTTGGCATGAAGTGAATTTAGATTTGATGTGGATTTCCAATTCAATTTTGGGAACTGTCAAGAGTTGTCTTTTATATATCAGTTCTTTCTTTCCTTTGACAATTTTATCTTTATTATGTTAGCTTCGAGGCAGAGCAGGAAGGCAAGGTGACCCTGGATCAACACGATTTATGGTGAGGTAATTCACTCTTCAGTGATTTAGGCTTGAATGGAGTCATCATGCATATGCTCACACAAAGACGTGGACGTGATTTGTGGGTCTAAAAAATTTTTGGTCTATTAATGTTTATTGAGATGGTCTCATGATAAAATTAAAGAAAAACATGGCCAAGTTAGCATAGCTCTCCTCTGCTCGGTCAACATTGCTTTATCTCAATCAATGTTTTAAGAACCAAACTGACCTGTCAGACTGGTTGAGTTGTTGATTAGTCATGATTTATGTATATGTAACCATCTTTATTGTTGGCCTGCATTGAACCATGCAACCTTCTGGTCCAACTCCACAATCGTTCTTTAACTGCACTTGTTTTGAGACTATTGTAAAACTCATGCAGAGCATGAAGTTTAAGAAGATTCCATCATTCCATACCTTATTATTTGTTCATTTATGTAACAGTTTGCAGGACGAGATGTTTCAAAAGTTTAATTTTGATACTGAGTGGGCTGTGAGGCTTATTTCCAAAATTACAAATGATGAGGATATGCCAATTGAAGGTGATGCAATTGTTAAACAGGTAATTGGCAAATCTCATGTTCATGATCAACTCATTCCTTTATCTGATCTTCTGAGCCTGCTTGATGGGCCTCAATTAATTATCTCTCTCTCTCTCTCTCTCTCTCTCTCTCTCTCTAACAGTATCTGCGTTTTATTAACTTGTACCATTACAATTTTAGCTCCTGGCCCTGCAAATTAATGCAGAGAAGTACTTCTTTGGCATAAGGAAGAGCCTTGTTGAGTTTGATGAAGTATTAGAGGTATGCGTTTGTGAATAACAATGTCTTTACTGGAGTGCTAACTGCTGCACAATTCACAAACACTGAGTAAACTTGTTCTTAATCATATTCATTTATTCAGTTCTAAAGTTTCTTCACTGGAGAGGAGTATAGTAGACTTCGTAATTCATAATTTCCATGAGAAATTGAGTTACATTGCCTTTTCTATGATTTTAAGTACTCAATCATGGAGATCTTTGATATTAGCTAGCAAATTACAAGTAATGCATCTTGCATGAAAATTACATGCATAAATTCAAAAATAGGAAAGAAAAGAAAGAAAAAAGGTCCTTTCTAATCTGAATTCAATCATTGCATGTCAAGCTTAAATGATTAAGACTCTTGCCTTGTTGCTTATTGAATTGTTTATTCCCTTTTCCCAGGTACAGAGAAAGCATGTCTATGAACTTAGACAGTCCATTTTAACTGGTGATAATGAAAGTTGTTCCCAGCACATATTCCAGTAAGTTTCTGAGTCTCCACTCACTATTCTAAACATTGTGTGAGTCCTTCAAATGTATTGTTATATTTTGAACTAGAATACAGTAGGTAATCAGTTTACAATAGCATGCTTGTTCGTACAGACGCTTGGATATCGGTGAAAAATTCAAAGCAATAGACATCGAGAAAAATTGTTTTACCTGGTCAAAGGAAGATTGTTGATAACTAGTTTAACTTTTAAACCTCTTTGTTTGTAGTATTTAGCGATGTTACAAATAAATTTAGAAAGTGTGCCCCAGAATGCAAAACTGAGTCATATCACCTAAAGGTAGCTGAGAGAATCAGTATATATTACAATCTGAAAAATTAGTATTTATATTTTAATCATTATTTATTCAGTGAATAATTAGTATTGATTTTTTTAATTAACTTCATGAATTATATTACTTAATAAATAGTAAGTTTCTGAGTCTCACCAACTTCATTCTCGCAGCCATCTAATTTATCACCCAAATATAGTAGCATTTTGTGTGTTACTTAAACTTCTTAATTAATAAACATTCACTATTCTAAACATTGTGTCAGTACTTGAAATGTATTGCTATATTTTGAACTAGAATACAGTAGGTAATCAGTTTAAAAATTATCAATGTATGAATGCCTTTGTGTTAAAAATAAATAGATAGTGTATATTAGTAAGCATGCCTTTGTATTACTGATTGCTGCGACCATATCTTGCTTGGCCTGTTTTTCATATTTTATACATCTTTGCTTTATTTGTTAATAAATCTAGCTGAGTTTCATATTCTTGTTTTTACTAAATTCTCCTATTCGATTTAACGTGCAAATATCACATTTCCTTCCGCACCTTTGTTGTTAATTGACTCAATGGAAGTCGATAATAGGTACATGCAAGCAGTGGTAGATGAAATTGTCTTTGCAAATGTTAACGCACAGAAGGTAGTATGAGATTTTCAAATAGGATGTTGTATACTGCTGTCCAGTCCACTAATTCATCTTACTGATTCCTTACTGCTTAATAGCATCCAAGAAATTGGAGTTTGGGTAAGCTTTTGAAGGAGTTTATGACAATTTCTGGGAAACTACTGGATGGTGAGCTGATACAATATTATCCTTGTCCTGCATTTCCTGGTTTGTTTGACATAAATTCTCATGGAATGGATATTCTCCAGATTCATTTGCAGGAATTACAGAGGAAGCTTTATTAAAATCTCTTGCACACTCACATGAACTAAACTCTATAGATCTTGATGACAATCACTTTCCAAACTTGCCAAGACCGCCAAAGGCCTTCAGAGGAATCCGCAAGAAGAGCTCTTCATTGAAACGTTGGCTTGCTATATGCTCTGATGATTTGACTAAGTGAGTGAACTCTGTGCTTGTGGTGCACATAATACCCATATTTGATCATGCTATTTTTATTTTGTGTCATTTCTTTTTTGCTTTTTACTTTTTACGATATTACGAGTTTTATCATCCCCTGATATGTCTAATCTAGGAACGGACGGTACCATGCTACTACTAGCCTCCTCCGCAAGTACTTTGGAGATTTTTTAATTGTTTCATACTTGGATGTTATTGAAGAGTCTGGTTACGATGATGCATATGTGAAGGAAGTTGAAGTAAGAATCTTCTCGTCAAGCATACTTTAATTTATTTTTTTCATATCAACAATAGGTGATGAATGCTGACATGGATTTATTAACTTATGATTATATTGCCTTTAAGAAGAAGAAAAAAAAACCTGCACTCATAAGTTGAAATATTTGTTGCTATATGATTACGTAAATATGACACCTGCTTAATGGTTCTAAATAAATGAGTTTGAGTTTGAGTTTGCTCTAGAAATGGTATTATTTACTTTGATTCCAGGTAGAAATTCCAGTTTTCTAGGTTTAAGTTTAGAAGTAGAATAATCGTTTTGCTTACAGATTTTCTTATCAGTAGTTATTATGCTCATTTGTTCTTTGGTAGAACTACCAGCACCTTACCTGTTTTCATAGTGTTCCTTTTAACAATTAATTTTTTTTCTTAACTAAAATTTCATCTGAAAACAGAGAGCAGTTCTGGTGAAAACCCTTGATTGTTTCTGGAGGGACCATCTTGTAAACATGAACAGGCTCAGTTCAGCGGTATTACCTAATCTGTTGTTGGTTTTACTTTCATCTAGCTTGTCCATAGTCATGGACTTACATGGAATATCTGGCAGGTAAACGTAAGGAGTTTTGGGCACAGGAATCCTCTTGAAGAATACAAAATTGATGGTTGTCGATTTTTCATATCTATGCTTAGTGCAACACGAAGGTTGACAGTAGAATCACTTTTGCAGTATTGGTCATCCCCAATGGAGTCCCAAGAAATATTTCTATCATAAATATGGAATTCTTGACACATTAAAATGTATGTATTTGCTCTACATTTTTCTTCGTTTATAAATTTTTCCTTCCGGTAACAGGCTGCCTAGATTTCACTATCTATTCTTACTGGGGCTACAATAATAAAGTTATACATTAATTTGTCAACGGCTTTGGGGCCCTAAAGAATCATACTTGGGATGTATAATCTTGCAGTTTTGGATGGTCGTTCCAAAGAACCGTGATTTGCATCTTTTTGAAAATTTCAATTCAAGGTTTTGGCTTTATTCCCATCATTCCAAGGTTGAGAAGTCACTTGGTCATCTGTTGTCAAAATTGGGCAATCTCTCTATCGGGAGGCATCTGGAAAAGATCCGTTTAGACCTGATCAGAAGACACCTGTAAAAAGTTTCATCCTTGCCAGATCGTACACAAAACAAGTAAGTTTATGCAACTGATTTTGCTTTAGAAAAAGAATGACGAAAGTAAGTGTCAAGTGTTGTAAATTCTAAATGGCTGCACCTTTTACAGGACTATGTAGAGTCTAGACAGCATGTAAGGGGCAACTTTGTCTGGCAGGCAAGCTTCTGCCCATATATGTGATGCTGGGGAAGAGTTGGTGGGATTGCGAAAGAAGCTTGCAGCCCAAGATTCTGGGGAATACACTAAAATTGCTAATACTACTGATGAGCTGAGTCTTGTCTAATTTGTGATTCATTAGTTAGTACTAAGCAAAACCACCTCATTAGAATGGGAGGTATCGGAAAGAATTTAAATTCTCATTCCTAAATATCGTTTGTGTAAATAAAATAATTGAAGAAATAACTCTAGCCCAATGGGCTAAAGTGGTATTTTAGCCCTAAATCCTAAAATAATCTGACAAAATTGTCACGTAAAAAATTTATAGAACAACGCAAAAAGTCCTAACAAATGTGTAGTATTTGAATATATTTATCGAGTATAGCCGCGTGGCTATACTTTTAAAATATCCTTTAAATATTAATATATTTTAAGAGTATACCTGCACAGCTATACATTTAAAATATTCGACTCCACAAAAGCCAGCAATCCATCATTACTGTAGATTCAGAAGTTGGCATTACAATTTTTTCCAGTAAAGCAAATGGACAAATAATAATAATAGGAAAATGGTAGATAATGAAGAAGATGAATCAAATTCATATGTGGATCAATAAGAAAAACAAAGAGATCACTTAACCAATAGTTCTTAAGACTACAAATTATGGTTGAGACATACCAAACTTCAAAATATTCCTCAAACATAGCCCCTAAAATAGTTAAACCTTTATCATTGTGACTAAGTAGGAAAAGGGTTTCATCACATATCGCCTTGTGTGTTTAACATAAACTGATGGCCTTCAGACTCCTGGCTGTCAACCCAAAATCGCGAATCAATAGTGATGTATGATAGGCAACTGAGGATCAGTTGATACAAATATGAATACAAGGAATTAGTTGATACAAAATTATTTAAGATACGTAATATAATTAATTAGTATTTATTAAGTAATTTATAGAATTAGTAAAATATTTAAATACTAATTATTCACTAAGGGCTCGTTTGGGAGTGCTTTTGAAACAGCAAAAAGCGCTTCTAAATGGGTGAAAGCGCTTCTATCTTTTAAAAATGGTGTTTGGCAAAAATTGCAAAAGCGCTTTGGGTGAGATTCAAAAGCACTTGGAGTGGTTTTGGAAGAAGCACTTGAGAGGTGCTTCTTCTTAAAAGCGCTACACGACAAAAACAAGGGAAGCACTTGACTCCCTTTAATGAAACTTTTAAAATACCGAACATATCCATATTTAAATTTGTAAAATGCCAAAATACCCTTTCTTTCTTTTTTTTTATCTTTTTTTGTCTCTCTCTTTTTCTCTCCTATTAAAATGCCAAGATGAATCAATTCTCTTGTTCTTCGCTCTCAATATAGGGTCTGGATATTCCACGATTTTCAGAGGCATCTCAAACTCAACATAAGCAGCTATATTCAATCCATCACAAAATCAAATATGAATGAACCAAACACATAAGAACAAGCTTTTTCTTCTTCTTATTAATATTTTTGGTAGCAATTATTGGAGTTTGGCTTATTAGTGGCCACTTCATCTTCTTTGACTGAGAAGCCTCGTTTGGCCTAAGCGTGGACTGGAGTCGACCGGAGTTTGGGATCCAGTGAATTTTTATTTTCTATGTTTATTATAATATTTTGGAATTCTTTAAAAAAAATTTAAGTATTTTTAAAAGCGCTTTTACTGTGTCAGCCAAACACTCAACAAAATATCAAAAGCACTTTTATGTAGTGTAAAAACACTTTTAAATGTGACATCCAAACGACAAACTGCTTCTTTGTAGAAGCGCTTATATCATAAGCGCTACTGGCATAAGCGCTACTAGCTTAAGGGCTTCGGGAAGAAGCACTCCCAAACGAGCCCTAAAGAAATAATAATTAAACACTAATTACTAATTAAAGAAATTAGAAAAGGCTAAAGTATTAATCACCTCCAAAAAAAAAACCAAAACAAAAAAACAAAAAAACAAAAAAAAAAACCATTTTGTGAAGTATAGCCGCGCGGCTGTACTTCGGATTTTATTTATTTATAAAAAAGTATAGCCGTCCGGCTTTAATGGAGTAGTTTTTCTTTAAAGTCTTTTTATAAATAGTATAGCCGGACGGCTATACTCTTTCCATAGATATTGTTATATATTTTTTTTAATTTTTAAATATTTTTTTCCCCCATTTTTGTTTATCGATAATAGTAGTTTAATCTATTACTATTGGGCCATTATCTGAATCTCTATTGTCCCATTTTGAGTTTTTACTTTTCCTGAGTTATTACCCGTATAAAGAATTTAGCATTTCCACATCTAATACTCGTATTGTACACATACGTACGTAACTTTCATGTTTAATACACTTGTTTTAATAATAAAAAATTCAATAATACACACAAAATCAACATATTATACACAAAATACTCACAAATTATTGAATACAAATAAATTTATTATAATATTTAAATACTAATTATTCAGTAAGTAAATAATAATTAAAACATAACTACTAATTAAAGTAATTGAGAATGAGAAATTCAGATTATGCTATTCAACGGGTATAGCCGGGCGGCTATACTGTAAAAAAAATTATATTTGTAGAGTGTAGCCGGCCGGCTATACATTTGAAATATTCTATTTATAGAGTATGGCCGTGCGGCTATACGATTTTCACAAAGTGCTTAGCGCTCGCCGGGTAATTTTTTTATTTTATAAATCCTCATGGTCGTCTCTAGTGTTAGTCTTAAGGCCAAGCATATCCATTTGAGCCATGGTCGTCTCTAGATCGGATTTTATTTATTTATAAAAAAGTATAGCCGTCCGGCTTTAATGGAGTAGTTTTTCTTTAAAGTCTTTTTATAAATAGTATAGCCGGACGGCTATACTCTTTCCATAGATATTGTTATATATTTTTTTTAATTTTTAAATATTTTTTTCCCCCATTTTTGTTTATCGTTTTTTTTAATTTTTAAATATTTTTTTCCCCAATTTTTGTTTATCGATAATAGTAGTTTAATCTATTACTATTGAGCCATTATCTGAATCTCTATTGTCCTATTTTGAGTTTTTACTTTTCCTGAGTTATTACCCGTATAAAGAATTTAGCATTTCCACATTTAATACTCGTATTGTATACATACGTACGTAACTTTCATGTTTAATACACTTGTTTTTAATAAAAAAATTTCAATAATACACACAAAATCAACGTATTATACACAAAATACTCACACATTATTGAATACAAATAAATTTATTATAATATTTAAATACTAATTATTCAGTAAGTAAATAATAATTAAAACATAACTACTAATTAAAGTAATTGAGAATGAGAAATTCAGATTATGCTATTCAACGGGTATAGCCGGGCGGCTATACTGTAAAAAAAATTATATTTGTAGAGTGTAGCCGGCCGGCTATACATTTGAAATATTCTATTTATAGAGTATGGCCGTGCGGCTATACGATTTTCACAAAGTGCTTAGCGCTCGCCGGGTAATTTTTTTATTTTATAAATCCTCATGGTCGTCTCTAGTGTTAGTCTTAAGGCCAAGCATATCCATTTGAGCCATGGTCGTCTCTAGAGTTAGACTAGACTGTCATGGACTAGACTAAACACTGGGATTGTCTTGGATTGTCTTGGATTGGCATAAGTTGGATAAGCCTAGTACTGCGTTTGGTGTACGATTGGATTAGGACTAAATTTTTTTAATTTTTTAATTTTTAATTTTTAAAAAGAAAGCAAATGAATTTTTTTATTTTTTTATTTTTACTTTTCTTCTCTCTCCCTCTGCTCTTTCTTCTTCATCTTCTCTCTCTGCGTCTTTTCTTTTTCATCTCTTCTTTTCCCTGCTCTCTCCTTCTCTTCTTCTCAATCTATATTCTCTCTTCTTCTAATTTCTACCCCACCTAAAAACATCATACAGTTCAGATACTTTGGCTTTGGTGTGGTAAGTAATTTCTAAAAACAAATTTGAGGGAGAGGTAGGAGCTCACGCTTAAATCATGGCAGAAATCCACAGCCCACACCAAAATCATCATCCACAAACAAACTTGAGAGAGAGGTAGAATCATACTCAAATTGATGAAGACCCGAAGATAAATCGTGGAACAACTTCAATCGCCGTGGTGGTCAGTCGTCGCCATTTGCCATCGTTGTTGCTGCCTTCCATTGCCATCTGCAACCCATAGTCGGTGGTTGTGATTGCCGTTTGGTTGGTCGGTGGTTGCTGCTAGCGCTTAGGTGGAGTTGGTTGCAGAGCTTTGGTTGGGACTAATAGTCCCTCATTTGGTGGTCAGTCGTCGCCATTTGCCATCGTTGTTGCTGCCTTCCATTGCCATCTGCAACCCATAGTCGGTGGTTGTGATTGCTGTTTGGTTGGTCGGTGGTTGCTGCTAGCGCTTAGGTGGAGTTGGTTGCAGAGCTTTGGTTGGGACTAATAGTCCTTCATTTTCACATGGGTTTAGCTAAGAACACCTAAGAAGGTGTTTTTGGTGGGCCTGGGATTACTAATCCCATTTAATACTAGGACCAAGTGACAACAAACATGGGATTAACTTTTAGCCAAGCCAATCCAAGCCAAGGAGGTGTAACAAACAAGCCCAAGGTCTTTATAAACAAATCACTATGATGGTTTGGTAAGTGTGGTTAACATTGGAGAGTTGGGGTAATGCGCTTGGCTATAGGTTTGGATTTGGCGTTGATTAATCGAAGACTTGGGACTTAGGGCTCTTGGGCTTTGGAGAAATTTAATTAAGACACCCAAATGAAAATAAGTAATTTATTTGTTACTTTTTGACATATCCTTTTAATTTAAATTTGA